GGAACGCGGCGGAACCGCGTTCCGGCACCTTTTTCCGGGCCGGCCGCACCGGAAATAGCCCCTCCCACACCGGAAATAGCCCCTCCCAAATTTTACTTGCATTCCTGTTCTCTAAAGGGGCGGTCCTAGGGTTTGATGAGGGCGTGGCCAGGTTTGAGTTCCGCCACCTTTTCTCCGAGAAAAAAAGCCCTGTTTATAATATTCACTCTTCCCCCAATAACCATCCCCTTTTTGCTCTTCATTCTTGTTAAAGGACAAAGGCTTCCCTTGAGTACAGCAAAGAACAGCCTGTACCCTTGATAATGCATTGTTGTTCTGTCTTCTTCACATTGGCAGGCCAAAGTTAGCGAATACTCACATAGATTCATTAAAATTGCCAACAATGCCAGGTGTCTCTCCAGGTGTCGGGGAACGAAAGCAAGGATTGTTGGCATTACAGATAATCCCCTGGACCCAGGGCAATGTTCCAGCTGAAGGCATGGCCTTGTTTGGAAAATGACCTAAAAATATGAGGACAGATATTTAGGACATTGCATGACATCATCCTTAAAACTTCCCTATCCTAAAATTACACCCCCCCCCAACTTGTCTTCAAACACATATAATACATGACAACAAGAAATAAGTTTATAATATATGCAGCAAATAGGCAGATTGTGAAAGGGCAAACAGGTGCAAAAGACAATACACACACACACACACATAAAAGAGAAGTGTAAACAAAGCGGTAAAAATGCTAATTATTTTGTTTGGTTTCTAAAATTACTAATTGTTTGTATTCCCCCCTTTTTATGCTGGCCTATAAAGATAGATTTGTTTTTACAGTGAATTTCCATGGTTAAGGGTGAAATTCAGCCCAGTTGGACATCTGGCTTCAGTTGGACATCTTTATCAACTTACTATATTAACGCTAAAAGCTATGTAAGAGAGATTTCATCAGGCCTACTAGTTATCCCTGTTGAAATTGCCTCTCTATAATCAGCCAATGAAGTTTGAATTATTATGAAGAAATATACCACAAGGTTGCTATTTTTTGAAAAAGGAAATCCTGTTTCAGTATAGCTAACAAGTTTCTGTATTTCAGGAACCGAATCCCATTCTCAAACATCTTTCAGCTGTCCTTAAAAAACTGGTTGATTTGACGTGAGCCAAGGGCATTCTCACCCAATAAATTACGGGCACTTTTAGTCTCTGATACACAGTGCAGCTTATTATTGAACCCCAAATACCATTCTTTCATTTTTTTTATATATCAACCCAGCAACCATGTATGTATTTATGCATGCATATATATCAATGTCAGGGAATAAATCCTGTTGAAGTCAATGAGTTTTACTTCAGAGTATGTATATACAAGAGTTTAAGAAGGGCAATTAAATATTCCATATTGTTCTATGTCTAGGATTTGTCTCTTGTGTAAGATTAATTTATTATTTGCCAACAGTTTGTATTAATAAAAACATCCATCAAAATTGTAACAGGTAATAACACAGCTCTGTCATTTAAATAATACGTGAAGGTGTGAAAGAAATCACTTTAAGGTCGTGGTTCTCAAAGTCTGGTCTGGAGACTCCTAGGAATCTCTGAAATCCTTTCAGGGGGTCTGCAAAGACAGATAAATATTTTAAAATTTCTCTGTTTTAATTTCTAATGTAGTGAATATTGATAGATATAGCCCATATAAACCAGAAGCTCTTTGAAGTCTTCAAAGCTTTTTAAGAATGTAAGGAGATCCTGAGACCAAAATGTTTGAGAACCACTCCTGTAAGGAATCATTGTGGGAACTGAATGGAATCCTTCATACACATTGTACTAAGCCAGGAGTCTTCAAACATGGCCCTTTTATGACTTGTGGACTTCAACTCCCAGAATTCCTCAGCCAGGCACGCTGGCTGAGGAATTCTGGGAGTTGAAGTCCACAAGTCATAAAAGGGCCAAGTTTGAAGACCCCTGTACTAAGCACTGGGCTATAAGGAAAACTTCAGGGTTATGTTAGCAAGAGTTTTTATATTCTTAATAGTGGTCAAGCCAGTGGCAAATCCCTACTTTAGCAATGACATTTCTTGAGATAGGAAATGAATTGCAATAAAAACTCTGACTTGAGCTGTTATGGCCACATGCAAAACTGAAGAACCATCCTATCTAGCTGAAGGTCAACTATAGATCGCTCTGATGGCCCAAATCTTTTTTCAGCCCTGCTATCTTCCATGTTTCTAGCCAGAAATAGTTGAGTCCTTATGCAATTTGCCTCTCACTTTCTTACTTCTCCTTCACCAAAGCCCAAGAACACAGGCATTTTTTTAAACTTACATTCTGGTTGTTCATAAGGCGGATAAGACAGTCTCACAGACATCAGAATAAAGAAGATAAACAATGGCCAAGTGATTTCAATCAGTAGTTGGACCTGGAAGAGAAGAGGGGAAACAGATTACTAAGCATCCATACTTGATATGATGAAGCAACTGAAAACAAAAGTAGACATAAGTATAATTATTATTATTATTACTTCTGTGAACACAGTGTTGCTTTTTGGTCTAGCTTTTCTCAATTTGGTGCCTTCCTAATGCCCTGGGAAACAATTGGATTATTAATTCATGAAAGAGTGATTTTACAGCATTCCTGTCCACGAAGCAAGGAATGGGATGAGATGGGGAAATGTTTCTTTCCAGCCCATATCCATATCCAAAATCCACACATTTTCCCTCTTAAGTTGAACTTTCCTATGCAACTTTCCCCAAAATGTAAATATATACTAAAGATTAATGTCTATAATACACCTTATGTAATTTTTTTCAATGTATCCTTTATTTTTCATAAGTTTCTCAAATGTCGGGGGATCTTTCCCCCCTTATGCAGTTATTATATAAAGAAAAACTAAGTAGTGAGCATGTGGTATTTTGTTTCCAACTCTGAATAGTACTTGGTCTTTTGTATCAGTTATTTTTCAGGGTTCTTTGCAAACATTTTTCTCCTTTTGTGCAGGCGTCTGACTGGAGTCTATTTTCAAAAATAATTTTGGAGACCCTTGTAACGTACATATGTATGCATATATTTATATGTATTTATAACATATACACACAAAATCCTAACTATCATTCTGGGAAGAATAGTCAGTTATTATAGCTGTAATCCAGCTATCCCAAACGGCCAGGTTAGGCAAGGCTAGTCTACACTCAGTTTCCTTGCAACAATATAGGCATTTCAATTATCCAGGATGTAAGTCAAACCTATTAATGAACCCTTGAAATGCCAATCCTCTCTATGTGACATAATGGAATGTATACATATCTGTTTCTATATATGCCAATCGATTATTCTAAATGGAAAAAAATATAAATACACCTGAGAAAAATTTCCCAGGAGCCCTTCCATAATCCTCCACCTACTCATAATTTCTGATGGTTTCCCTTCAGAAAATGTTTCCCTCAGATTTGAGGATTATTCAGAATGCTAAATCAATTATTTTCATGTAAAATAAATTCTTCGTGTGCTCTGCCACACACTGACTATCCAGAGTGGACAAGTCGGTGGAAGAACTGTGTTGTTCAATGTCTGCGTAGATCATGAGGATCTAAAATTAGATAATTGACATTTAGTATAGGTCCAAGTGCTAAGGTTGTTACAGTAAGTCAGCAAAATCTAAACTGTAAACACATCTCATCCTGAAACATTACGTTCATTGGTGCAAAATCCTTTGCCAATAGCATATCCTGAAGACAAATTATGTAGAAATCGTGGAACCTAACCCACATTTCACAACTGGGGATCAGCAGCCTTTACTCCCACAACTAGTAATTTGCAAGGCAAATCAATAGTGAATAAATAAGCCAATTTGTAATCAAATTGAGGAAATTCTTCTCAAAATATCTTTAGATATTGGGCCCATATCCAGATCCAAATTCATCACAGCACCCACCCAACCTGCAGTGCTAAACAGGAGTATATCAGCATGCATGGAAAACTCCTACACGGTTAGCACTGAGATTTTTTTATAGCATTATTAAAAAAAAACAAAAACCAATGAGATGAAACAACATAAAAACTAAGTGCAAGGGAAGGCAAATTGTCCAAAACTAGTCAATAAAAATAAATATGTTTAGAGACAATGGTATTTGAAATTAAGATGGGAAAAGAAAGAAGCCAGAAGAGGATAAAGGAAAGAAAATTGGGGCTGCTGGTATCCTAAATGAAGGGTACTCCACATTCCAATATTCAGTTTAATATAACATTTATTTAATAGAATAATATTAATAAGTCTCTTCTTATTCTAAAATCAACCACCAATGCAGCAATTTGATACGAATCTCTTATTAAAAAGAGATGTTTGAAAATGGTTTTCCCTCAGAATCTCTCCAGTAAACAGCTTGGCCTGCATTTCCTTCCCTGTCACTTTTCCAAACTGTGGTGGCTGAAACAAGCGGTATGAGAGGCGTATCTGAGCTTAGCTTGACGGGCGCAGTTCAAGAGTTACATCTGTACTGCTGGAAGGCATCCAGGACCAATTAGCTTCTGGCTAAACCTCCTGGGAGAAAGCAGCTTCAGAAACATTAAGCAAATAGGCTTGTACAGTATACCCTACTGTAATCCAGCATCATTTCTTACTCATTTATCCATTCAAAACTGAACAGCTCTCTTAAGAAACTGATTCCAGATATGGGAAACTAAGCAGCAAAATACTGACTACCATCTATCTTCAGAGAAGTTTTTGATGGGCTAAAGTAGAGGTCTTCAAACTGGGCCCTTTTATGACTTGTGGACTTCAACTCCCAGAATTCCTCAGCCAGCATGCCTGGATGAGGAATTCTGGGAGTTGAAGTCCACAAGTCATAAAAGGGCCCAGTTTGAAGACTCCTGGGCTAAAGCCATGGCCAAAACTGCTGATTTTCACCTGCAGCAAAGGCCAATTTGGTCTAGTGGTTAAGGCACCAGGCTAGAAAGCGGGAAACCATGAGTTCAACTCCCATCTTAGTCATGAAAGCCAGATGGGTGACTTTGATTCAGTCACTCTGTTTCAGCCCAACCCATCTCACAGGGTTGTTGTTGTGGGGAAAAATAGGAGTGAGGCATGTTTGCTGCATTGAGTTATTTGTAAAAATAATAAAAGTGGGATGCAAATAAATAAATAATAAATACGGTATATATAATCAGAAAAACTAAAATATAAATCCAGTATATAAAAACAAATTTGATGAAAGGGAATAATCAGACAAAATGACAAAAATCACAAAATAAAAACTGTTTAAAAGGCTGTTTATGATGTACCCCCCCAAACTGCCCAATTACTGACAAGCACCTAAAGACATACTTAAAATTAAGACAAAAGAACTCAGGTACATTGCATTCACATACTAGAGCACTTGATTCACGTGTAAAATTATGTATAAGAAAAGGAAAAGAGAAAGTTTCTCCTTTGCCATGCTGAATAATACTATTGTAATGAGTTGAAAGGCAGTGAGAAATTAAATTATGGATATGTTCTTTTTGGATCATTGCCTGTCTTGCAACCCTTGTGGTAATTTGAGTAATAAGAGAGTCAGAGTGTAAGTTCTTTTCATCTTATTTGCTATGGTTGAACTTTCATTAAATTCAAATAAAGGCTACCGCATGGGTTGGCTTTGTACATCTTAACCTACATCTGGCTCCTCTTTCTGACTGTTAGCATGTGGTCATCATTATGTCATTGCTGAAAGAACATGGCCCTTTAAATAAAAAAGGTATCTCATCTTTACTCGACCTTGATGGCCCATCTGATGATCTCACTGCTTTTGGGAAGAACGAGGTCATTTTAAAGTTTGGAGAGGAAAAGATGGCACTGAAGGCACTGAGTGTTCCAGGAACAGTATGGATGCTATGTAAGATCACCAGAAGGACTTTAGCTCCCAGAGCTAAAAATCTTTCCTCATAGTCCAAGAAGCCACTGTTACTAATAGAGCCTATGGGATAAAATTTGCAAGTACATCACTACTAAATTCTTAGGTCTGTACCATGTACAACTGTGCACACTGTAAGTGGGAAATTAAAGAGCACAATATCATCATCTTTATATTCATGTCTAGTCTCATATGAACCCGGGAAAAATAATTAGAAAGGACCTGTCAGAAAAGACTCAGGAACAACTAAGCGTGTATAATCGCTTTGACCTAGTATTGTTCCTGTGAACAACGCTATTCAGATTTGCACTGGAAGACTTCCTGTACTATTGTGAAGAATAGTGTTAAGTATTTATCCTATTAAGTCCAAGCACTACTAGCATATTAGAATCTAAAGCAGTTGCAATCCAGGTTTTATTCAGCCTCTCTCTCCTAGACATAGCAATGGAAGGTCTTGAACATCTCAGTTTAAATTACTGCTAGAATTGCTGTAATAAAGTCATACCCTGCTTAAGCCAGTCTTCCTCGCTCTGATGCCCTCCATATCTATAGTTTGGACCAGAATTTCCAGAATTTCTAACCAAGTTAAGCACTGGAATTCAGAAAGTTGTAATTAACACAAAGCAGCAGACTGGGGTTGTTGATGTAACAATTCCTCTGCTTTTTCTAGGCTTCACGATAGGAAGATGGCAGAAACTCACAATGTATAGGCCAAGCAGTATGGTACATCTCTTGTATTACTTAAGCCGTGGTTAGAATATAGTATTATAGGCTAACTGTGCCCACAGCCTGGAGTTCGATCCTGACCAGCTCAAGGTTGACTGTCTTCCATCCTTCCGAGATCAGTAAAATAAGGACCCAGATTGTTGGGGTCAATACGCTGATTCTGTAAAGCTCTTAGAGGGGGCTTTAAAGCACTATGAAATGGTATATAAGTCTAAGTGCTACAGTGTTGTAATGCTATTGCTAATGCTACTTGTGATTATGCTTCCATTTTTTACTCTAAGCATTCATGGAGAAATGGCATAATCTTACATTTTCTTTTGCTAGAGTCTGATCAGAGCAAAAATGATTCCTACACCTGAACTCTAAAACAGATTTTCTAAATGTTGAACTAAGAATAAGTCTAGTTTCTCTCTGCCTCCTACCTGCATTTATTGAAAGTAAAAGATAACTGTGGCTTCTTGCTTCATACTTAACATCCAACACATAATTTATTTCTTTGAAGAACATATTGGCTCACCTCCTTTATATAAACCTTCCAATCCAGATCAGAAAATCCAACCAAATCAATGGGAGTCTTACATATTTGTGCCCAAATGGTGTATTTATACAGCGAAATATGATTGCCTGAGCAGGCCTTGTTATGGAATTCTTAAAACACAGAGTTGGCTCTTTTGTGAAAACAAAGCAGTGGTGTGATCTTACCGTTTGCCTTCTCCTATAAGTGAAATTCTTCCATAGTAGCAAACCCAGCTGTGTCCAGAATGCCATCTTGCCTCCGTACACTCCAGGAGCACCACCGATGGCAACAGCACACAGCAGAAACCCTGTGGCTGCTCATCAACTAGAAAAAACAGAAAGAGATTAACAGCCTCAAGAAAATCCTTTTAAAAAGCCACCTGTCCTCCCCAATGCTTCACAGTTTTGCTCCCCCTTTTTATCCCTTTTCATTCTTACCAAAAGCAGGATTGTTTCCCAATGCTTTTCTCAAACATCTCCTTGTGGTGGCACCATCACTCATGCCTTTCCCTTACACAGCCAGTGATGTGCTTGCCTCCCACCCTCAAGACGGAAAAGAAAATGGAAAACCATTGCTGTCTCAGCAAACTTTTTGCTTGTTTCAAAAGCAAGGGTAGCTGAGCTGTGGTGGCACAGTGGTTAGAATGCAGTATTACAGGCTAACTCTGCCCACTGCCAGGGGTTTGATCCTGACCGACTCAAGGTCGACTCAGCCTTCCATCCTTCTGAAGTCAGTAAAATGAGGACTCAAATTGTTGGGGGCAATAAGCTGATTCTGCAAACTGCCCAGAGAGTGCTGTAAAGCATTATGGAGCAGTATATAAATCTAAGTTACTATTATTTTCAGTGACTCTCAGTTAATTGATAATGGCATCCCTCCATGATATGCAGAAGGCAAACAGAGTCTCTCTCTTTACAAACACAGTCTGTGAAACCAAAAGTCACTCTAGTCTTTTGGTCACAAGAGACTGAAACTTCATAAGTGCCTCTTCCTACAATTATTACATAGCTGATAATGAGCTGCCCTTTCCAAACAAGGAGTCGCAGCTCCCAACCTTTTCTGTACCCTGCACCCCTAGAACGCTTCTGATATATTCTCGCACCCCTTACAAAAGTTCAAAATAACGAATTATGTATATATACTAAAATTTTGAAACTTCTACACCCAAGTTTTCGCACCCCCTGGAATATTGTCTTGCACCCCTGGTTGAGAACCCCTGCGCTAATTGTTGAGCCAGCCTGCTCCCAGCTATTTATGCTCCCCATTTTCTTTCTCCTCTTCTGCTTGGTGTGAAGACGCAACACACCTTTCAGCTGGCCTCTTAAAGAGCAGTTACAGTGAATGTTCTGATTGTGTCCCTTGAGCAGAAACCTTTGGGTCTCACTTCATATGTGTTTATACATGAAGATCTGAAATCATCAAACATTTCATTTTCAACACCCATAATGAGCCTCAAACTGTGCAGTTTCCTTAGTCGTAATTCTTCAGGGTTCTAGAAAGCTCTGCTACCATCAAAATCCTTTTTTTAAATTATTTTTTTTAATTATTAGCAAATACACAGGAGTCAAGTATTTATAGTATCTATACATTAGGCTTTTTGGTGATGTTTTAGAGGTAACTTTCTAATTCTTTTTTCTTTTTCTTTTATGAAGCTGTGAGAGTGAGTGACTGGCAGCACTAAAACTCAAAGTCTCCCAACTCTTGACACACAAAGGGATAGACCCCTAATCCTCATGAAGAATCTGAATTTTAACACTCCATTCCTCACATTTTATTACCGTAGTTGTTTCTATTATTTCCTATCCCAGCAAAGGCTGTGAGGTATGTTGCCAATCTCTGAAAGTTCTCTGTTATACATGTTAAGCTTTTTTTTTTTAAAGTATCTCTAAGCCAAAGGTCCCCAACCTATGGGCCATGGGCAGTGGTGGGATTCAAATATTGAACAACCAGTTCTCTGTGTGGATGCCACTTCTGGAAGTCTATTCTGGGCCTGGGCAACAAAAAATTAGCTACCGGTTCTGCCGAAGTAGTGCGAACCGGCTGAATCCTATCCCTGGCTGTTTTCTACTACTGGGCCATGGCCTACTGGCCACTGGGGTGCAGGACATGCTGGCCAGTGCGCACACACACACACGTGTGCACACTCACCCCCACTCATGCTAGCGCCCGTGGACCCATTTGCGCATGCATGCGGGGCTAGCGGTGGTGGCTTGCGCCTATGCAAACAGGGCCACTAGTGCCATGTGGGTGCGCGTGGCTCCGTTTCCGCACGCGGAATTTCTCAGCTACTCCCTTTACCTCCGGGTTGCCAGCATGAAAGGTTGGTGACCTCTGCTCTAAGCAATGAGCATCTTGGGCCACCTCATACCCCTTTCTTCTCTCTGTTGGTCCTCTCACACACAGAGACATTACAAGAGATCAGATCCAGCCAAAATGGCAAGATTTTCCCATCATGTCATGATGGTGGCAGGCCAACATTCTCAACAACATTGAGTTGGGACGATGACTATGAGTTAGTGTGGCCATGTTTATTTTAGAGTCTTACATTTTAATTGAAAATTCTGGGAATTTTATCTATGATCTCCTGAATAAATTGTCCTTAATGTGCACATTAAGCAAACATTCAACAGCCTTTGGAAGAAGGACAGTATAGTTATTTGCTCTTTGACTGAGACAAAAAAGAGAGACCTCTTTAGAGAAGAAAACCTTTCCCCTAGAAAATAGTTATCTAGTCAGCAACTAGGCAAACTTATAAAAGCCCAAGAGGAGACGGTACTTGCTGACTCTTGAAGCAAGTTTAATCATATTTGGAACCTGGCTCTTTACCCAACCATCACTCTTTTGTGAAACTATCATCGTTTTTTAAAAACTCATTCTTAGAAAACAGTACTTTTATTTTGTTATCTATAAATCCTCCCCCTCTCCCTGTCCCTCTAGTCCAGGGGTAGGCAACCTTGGCTCTTTTATGACTCGTGGACTTCAACTCCCAGAATTCCCGAGACAGCACGGCTGACTCAGGAATTCTGGGAGTTGAAGTCCACGAGTCATAAAAGAGCCAAGGTTGCCTATCCCTGCTCTAGTCAAAAGATCAAGCCTTGCCCTCCCAGAGATGCCAAGATTAAATACAGTTTCAAATCTGACTCAAATAGTCCAGAGTTCACCCATGTCATCTGGAAGGAAGGAGCCTGATGCTGGCAAATTTATAGTCTAATCAAGATTACAGACAAATCTAGATGGTAGGATAAAAAATGCATTTTGCGGTGAGCTGTGGTTGTGCAACCATCACAATGGCATGGATTTGCCCCAAGAAGAGTTTCTGCTTGTTCTGACTATTTAGCAGGCCTCCATCTTCTGAGAATATGTACTTGTTAATTTCATCTGCATCTTTACGGGCTTTTTTGTCTACCCTTGGAATGAAGGACGAAGAATTGAGGACTAAAGCCCTTGTTTCTTCTTCCTTTTCCTGGTGGAATAAGCTTGAGGGCCATGCTGAAATCTGTTGGCATGCAAATACAGCTTGTTGTGTGTGCTCTTTCTGAGGTGCTGTCCTTGTCCAGAGAACAGATAAAAGATTCCAGCTTCCAGGGGAAATTTTAGCTGAAGCTTTTTCATAATCAGGATCAAAGGTTGGATCCAGCTTGTATTGCAACCAGTGTTTGAGTTGAAAATAATTATGCTCCCACTTCACTGATTTTGACTCCAAAGAAATTGTTAGCTAAATCAAAGCTCACACTTGCTAAGAGACCAAGCGGTCTTTATCATCATTCCAGTTTTGCACAAACTTCTATAAAAAAGAGGGATTTTTGTTTCTGTATATTGCTATAAATTCTCCATAGCTCTAACTGAGCACTCATTCATACACATGCTAGCATTGATACCGGTAATGTCACATAAGAATAAACCAAGGCTATCCAACCAGTCATTTTGATTAATTATATGTCATTGATTGATTGTTTGATTGACTATGTGTCATTGAGTTATTTTTTTTATAGTCCTGGTGACTATATAGATAAATTTTCTCCATACAAATGCTGAATAGTTAAATGATATAGATGCAGGTATGAATCTGATGAGTTGTAAGAGGTTTCTGAACTCTGAGCAATCAGATTGACCTTTGCTATTTGTAAAAACTGCTTCGCTGCTGTAGCTTATGTTAGTCTTGGCTATAAGCACTATCTGCTCCTAAAATCATGCTTGGAAATCCTGCCATCTCATAGCTTAACTCACAATCATTACAGTCTGCACTTTCTCAAATTTCAAAAAACATCTGAAAAGATTCTTGAGGAAAAGATCCTGCCACGTCTCAAATCTGTACAATCTTTAGAGTTTACAATCATTCAGATCTGTTTAGTTTCATCAAGGTTGCTGGCTCATCTGAACACTCTTGTTTTGTCACCTACCTGCCACAGGAATGTTCATTCTAGTAGGAGCGGAAAAGAAAAATATTTATGATAGTCCTCCAATACTTTGCCACATTTACTTAAGATAGCTGTGTTTGGAAGGCAAATTTGTTCACACCAGAAATGTCTACGGCTCATGGAGATTTTTTTTAATTGAACAGGTGTTTACCCTGCTCCAAGAACCCTAAAATGAAACCCCAGAATGCTATCAAAGTCCCAGAGACGTTTACAAGCAAGCAAGTTCTAGATTTTTCATCTTCCAAAGAGGCTAGTTAGACAATTTCACACATACGTACACACATACAAAAGCATTCTATATTCAGTTCCTCTATCCCAAAGTAAGCAATCTGGTGCCCGTCACAAGTTTTGTTGGGCTGCAGCTACCAAATTTTCACTAGCAATACTGAAATAAAACAGTTCACAGAGTCTAAAACATCTGGGAGATACTGCTCTCTAATTATGCTGCAACTAATCCAATGGCTTCAACCGGGGAAGATATGCTGGGAAGACAACAGGAAATTATGGAAATTGAAGACATTGTCTTGAGCATAGTAACTTGGGTGGAGATGGTGTGGAATTGTCTTAAAAGAATTAAATTCCCCCCAACCATTTTTCTTATTCTCTGTCAATATGGAAAGCCAGTTTAGGGTAGTGGTTAAGGCATCAGACTAGAAACCAGGAGAGTGTGAGTTCTAGTCCCATCTTGGGCACAAAGCTATCTGGGTGATACTGAACCAGTCCCCCCTGTCTCAGCCCTTGCCAAGAAAACTGCAGGGAATTTGTCCAATCCGGTCTCAAGAATCAGAATGATTAAATGGAAGAAAAAAAATCTGTCAAAAAGCAGGCTTTCCCCCCCCCCCCATAGCATTCAAAG